TCTCTCTCTCTCTCTCTCTCTCTTTCTTTCTTTCTTTCTTTCTTTTTTTATTTTTGGTTTTTCGAGACAGGGTTTCTCTGTGTAGCTTTGTGCCTTTTTACTTGGTAGTCCAGGCTGGCCTTGAACTCACAGAGATCCGCCTGGCTCTGCCTCCCGAGTGCTGGGATTAAAGGCGTGCGCCACCACCGCCCGGCCTTTTTTCTTTTTTAATCAATAAAAAAACTCAACAAAATAAATCATAGACATAAATAAAGATAAGAATTTAAGTCTTCTAATATGATGGGATGAGAAAATGTAGACTTTATAAAGAGTGGGCCACCTAACTGTCTTTGTAAATAAACTCTATCCTATCTCTAAGGTATTGAACTTAAATTGTTGCCCCTCATTTAAAGTCCTTAAAAGTCACTAAAATATGAAATTTCATTTTGAATACACATAGTAAAGCCAATTTGTAAACAAAGTCAAGTTACTTACCGGTAGCGACAGTGACACCTTCCTGGTAACTTCCTTGGCTAACACACTCTGGAAACTGTTACCCATCTACCATACTGAGGAGGCTTGAGAGAGGTGATAGATGATGGGTGATAGGTGGTAGATAGGCGGTAAATAGGTAATAGATGATGGGTGATAGGTGGTAGATAGGTGATAGATAGACAGTACCAGGGGTCAGCCGAGGAGCCCGCACAGTGAGTGAAGCGTTCATACTTAGGTCTTGTCTTCTTTTTTACTAATTGTTTACTGCTCTTTCCCCTTGCTTTCTCTTTATTTTCTTTCGTTCTTTCAACATTTACAAAATCTTAAAATTAAAATATAATGACATCACCTCCTCCTTCCACTGTCCTCTCTCCATTCCTGTGTTTTTACAGTTATGAGATAGAGCATGGCAGGCTGTACCTCAACATCGTTCTGGTTTGTTTTGCTTGTTGTGGAGGAATTTGCTTCCAAGAGTACCACTACTTCCTTTAATATGTTTTGTGTCTTAATGTAGTTATAACCGTTCAAAGGAATTAAATTCTTTTAAACATGTTCTCCCAGAACAGAAGTAAGGTGTGTGTGTGTGTGTGTGTGTGTGTGTGTGTGTGTGTGTGTGTGTGTGTGTGTGTGATATTCCACGTTTGGCTCCTCTGGTGAGTAAATGTAATTTAGCAGATGGGATCATTCTCAGGCGGGTTCCAGCAGGCCCGGAACACTCTGATCTGTGCAGAGAGTGACTTGGCTGACCAAACCCTGGCCTTCTCTGGGTGTTTTTGTTCTAGATACATTTCATCTTGCTCTTTAGTCGACAAGGAAAATTGCGGCTGCAGAAATGGTACAACACACTCCCTGACAAGGAGCGGAAGAAGATCACCCGGGAGATCATCCAGACAGTTCTCTCTCGTGGGCACAGGACAAGCAGCTTCATTGACTGGAAGGAGCTGAAACTCGTTTATAAAAGGTGTGAGTAACTTCACGAGAATCGAACTGCTCATGCATTGTGGCTCTGACTCGTTTGTGTTCTGAATATGTTAGATTGCAATACCAATCTCAACACTTTCTGAAGTCTTTGATGAGGGGAGTCTAAATAGTTACAACATGAGAGAGCTCGTAAAGATACCCCCATTGATTAAAACAGCATCCACGTGTTAGGATGGATTCTAAGTACTTAAGCTGTACGCTGAATTCGCAGGCACATGCTCAGTAACATTTTGTCACATTCTCAGCATCATTTCAATGATGGTAGATACAATAGCAAATGAATGAGACAGATTATGTTTGTGTTTTCAGGAAGCCTATTTATTTATTAAGCAATCAACATATATTCAGTAACAAATGCTATGGGAAAGTGCAAGTGGATGTGACAGGGGAATGGGAACCATTTCCAATGGATTGCTCATATTCCAGTTGTCCATATTTGCAGATGGGTGAACTGAGGACACACAGTTTAAGTAATTACTTCCTAGTCACAGTAGTTGAATGGTAATCAGTAGATTCAGGACTCAAGTCCAGAATTTTCTTTCTTTAAAGCCTAAATTTCTTTTGATGCACCTGTTTGAAGTGGCAAGACCATACTAGCGAGGAATCCTAATTTATAAATGAAAAATCTGAGGCTTGAGAGGTAAAGGAAGCTTTTTAATGAAGATTCAGGCAATAGATTCAGGTAACAGGTTAGGACCTGAACATAGCCAGCCTGACCCCAGTTTTCTGACTACAGTTTCCAAAACGGAAAATTCACACTGGAAATGCACTCGAAGAGAGTATTTATAAAAACCAATGGAAAAAGAGAGGCAGCATGTACAGTCTGATATTTAATGGAGTCCGCTTCTGGGCAGTGCTTCGGCAAAGCAGCTTCTGTAGGTTCAGAGGGTGGCCTAGAGTGACCATGTGAAGCCAGATATAGAGCGTGTGCCCCTGAGAGCACTGTTGAGTGCTTGTATATTCAAGGAGACAATTTACAAACTGGATAAGGGCTCGAACAAACACCCTGATTACCATGAACCAACGGATTCCATCCCTCTGATTGTAGCTCTTCAAGGTAAAATTCTGTTGAGAGTCTCTCTGTGATTAACCGAAGTGATTTACCAAGGCATCATTTATATATATTCAGGTTTATATTTGAGGAGTGTACTGCATGCCATGAGCAATGATTTTTATCTTTGTATGGGGAGAATCTCTCAAGAGAGCAAAAGGTTGCACATCCATTGGGAAAACCTACTTAGGCTTGTTTATTGTCTCATTCAATTTTGCTTTTCCTTTATTTTTTTTTTCTTTTCAAGGTATGCTAGTTTATATTTTTGCTGTGCAATAGAAAATCAAGACAATGAGCTCTTGACACTAGAGATCGTACATCGGTATGTGGAGTTGCTGGACAAATACTTTGGAAATGTAAGTGTCTTCTGGCCCTTTAGAGTCTATCCATCTTGGTTCTTGCTTCTGCTCATCTCTTGTATTCCTTTTCTCTTTCTCAAGTTTAAACTATCCATCACATTGTGCCAAGGATGGTGCTGGCCCACCTTGGTTCAGAATTACAGCATTCCTCCCTACCTGTATGTCTTAGTAAATGAATCACTCAAAAGATGTGGATGTATCTTTGTCTTCAGATTGCAAACACATAGAAGACCTTGTTTCAGGGAGCTGAATTTAATTGTGAGAGGTCTCTGTCCCTTTTTCCTCATTGGCTTTGCTATTTCCTTTCTGTTTTGACCTTTTGTTCCTTCTTGGGCATTGTTTAAAGTTACAATATTATTAGTACCTGAGGAAAAACAACCACCACCAACAACCTAAACAGAAGTCCCCAGTCCTTTCACCTCACACTGCTATTCTACCATCTCATTTGCATTTATTTAAGTGACAGATGTGGTGATCTCTCACAGCTGCTCCCATCTCTGATCCCATTCACTCTGTGCCAGCTTGCTGCAGGGCCCCATCCTAGCCCTCCACGGATGTTGTACAGTTAATCAAGCCCTCTCTACACTGCTCCACACCATTGACCATTTCTCACATCTTGGCCTGCTTTGCCCTCTCTGCAGCACTGGATTCTTATTCATCCTTTAAGTTTCCTTCCTTTTTTGCCACGCCATTGCTTTCTCCTGGGTCTTGGGCTGTGTGTCTGGAGGCCCCTCCATGGTTTTTTCTTCTTCCCCTGAGCTCTCCCTCCTCTTCGGATCTCCTAAGTGCTGTGCCGCTCTCCCCACCTGCTTAAGTGTGCCTGTGGACTCTTTCTTCCAGGTGATTTCTCTTTTGCTTACCTTCTCCTGCTTTCTCTTCTTTGCTTACCTGGTGATGGTCTTCGCCGATCTTCCCGGGACCAAGTACTATGCCTGTCGTTGACAAACTATGCCTGCTCTTTCTGGTGGCTGGAATTTGCTATGTCTCAGAATCCTTCAGCGCAAAGAGACAGGGTTCCTTTGTCTTTCTTTGCCTGGGATGGAACCTACCCGACTCTTCAGTTTAAACTTAGAACTCATCTTCTTCGTTTCCCTCTCACTAGTATAGGGGATTTAACTTTCAGCTTCTTATTTGGCCATTTCTACCCTTAAACCTTATTTATTTATTTATTTATTTATTTATTTATTTATTTATTTATTTATTTATTTATTTATTTAGCTTTTCTGCTTGGCCTGTTGGTGAGCATCTTTTTTATAAAGCACAGACCTAGGTTGGGCATTACTCTCCATCCCTTTCCATCCATCTATCGTGAAGAGCGCCACACCGCCTAGGCTATACTTTAAGCTTTCAAACAGTGACAGCAGACCACGCCTCCACCCTCGCTGCGTCCTTTCCTCTGGGCACCTGTCACCACCAACATTCCGGGTTAAGCAATAGCTCAGAGCATCCCACATGGGGCGAAAGTTACCCGAGTGCAAGCCCAGCCCTTGCCTGAGGTCAAGACCTTTGACCTCCCCCACCCCCAGTGCTATAAATACCTCTGGGCCAGATTTTTAGCAAACGCTGTAGAGACACCCATAAAGTGCACTGTTGAAGGAAAGAAAATGATCAGATCTGGAAAAGGTTCCTCCAGCAATGTTCTCTGCTCATCCCCTGGTCAATGGAAGTTTGTCAAGTGATGCTGGGAGAATTTGCTGCCAGAAGAATTTTTTTTTTTTTTAGCATTTTTTTTTTCTGCAACTGAACAGGTGATAGTTTTCATCATTGGTTGAGTTGGGTCTTATCTACTCCCTTCCACCTTTCCTTCCTTCCTTCCTTCCTTCCTTCCTTCCTTCCTTCCTTCCTTCCTTCCTTCCTTCCTTCCTTCATTTTTTATTCCTTCCTTCCTTTTCTTCAACAGGCTTTACAATGACAAGTATTGGATAGGTTTCTAAATAAATTTTCTCCCCTTTTTTCTCTCTTCTTTCCCTTGTAAATGATTTTTATGAGAACTAACATGTTGCTTGGGAGATTTCAGTTATTGCCAATATTTAGGAATAATAAGAAAGTGACACCATGTTCTGTTTCTCCTCGTGCCTCATCAAGTTTATTTTTATTTTTTTCTAAGTAGTACGTATAAAGTAGCATGTTTTAAAACACAGGAATATTTAACTTCATGCTTTTTTTATTCTAATGAATTGTGACATTTTTGGTGCCTTCCTTTGAAATGAACAGCACATGTGGCCTTTTGTGAGGGCCGGGAGGAGTTTCTTGGAGTCAGCTTTCATACTTGCTTGCTCTTCCTCATTTCTGAACTCTGGTTTGACCTGTTCTGTTTCTGTGGATTAACCCAACTTTAATCATGTAATTTGAGGCAGAAATTTTGATCTCTCTGTGCTTAACTGAAATTTAACCAAATATTTCAGAGCACATCACTTCTTAAGAGAATTTGGATGATTTCCACCAAGATCTAGGTACAGGGAAAGAGGATCAGAATAACTCCTTGTGTCTCTGGCATTGGTTCTCCATCAAATTCTGGTACCTCTTTAGAAGCTCTATCTTCGTCATGAATCAAAATTTTAATTCACTAATATTTTCAATGAATCTTTCATTAAACTAAGAGCACTTCAGGGCTTCATGCCCAGTAGGTGTCCAATTCTCATTAATTAACAGTGATGACCAAAGGCTCCTAGGACTGATCCTCACTGACATCATCTCAGCAATGAGATATTGCTCTTTGGATTTGTTTTTCTCTCACGCTAATACCAAAGGTTTCTTTTAATTCTGTTCTTAGATTATGTAAGGGGAAACTTATAACTTGAAAATACCATATTTAAAGATAGATAAAAATCAGAATCTCTGGTTACTAATTTGAGTGATGTGTCTTATAGTAGTTTTCAATTCTAAGGAGATTATCAAGGACTGGGTAGCTAATCTTTCAATCTTCAGTAAGTAGCATTAACCCCAATTTACAGATGCTAAGAAGAAATGCTTTGGGGTCCCCCAGGAGATAAGGGATTTAGACACCTGCCATATTTTCACTCTGCATTGCAACATGAATTTTGATTAATGTATTCTGAGTGTGTGTGGATGCTACTGTCCTAGGAGGCTTTCGAACTTTGACCTTGGGAGTTTTTCTGTTGTAAGAGGAGCAGCATTCAGTGTCTTGATCCTGGTGTCTGCTCACATAGTAACCAGACCCAAGATTTCAGACCTGCCATCTCTCTCCATTTTATTGATGAGGATATGACACTAGAAAAGTTGATAAAAATATTTGCTTTGCTAAACTCATGGGCAACTGTGAGGGTCAAATACAATAAGTAGCAAAAATATATAAGCTATTGATTGTGACATATATTTTTTTCATGTAGTGCTACATAGTTCTTTTATCTGAAACATTTTTTTGTGTGTGTAACTTAAAACTTCTTGTATTTACTTTAAAGCAGAGTCCAAGGACAGAGGCTTCTAGATTCCACCCAAAAGGATTTAGTTGATGAAACACCAGAAACATTATCAGAGGAGGATGTACTTAGCTCTAAGAGGAGAGCTTTAAGCCACACTATAGTCACACACACAAAATTAGGACGTGGAAGAGAAAGTGAAATTGTCATATTTCTGTCGTGTGTAAGCTGTATGCCAGAATCTATATACATGGGCGGTGGGGGGCATCAAAGAAAGGTTTCGTGTTTAATAGCATGGACTGTGAAGGAAGATGCCACATAGATAACTCGATGGAACGGAGCGTCAAATGCATAGTCCTTCTCTGCTGGGACAGACCTTAAGGTGGAATTTATAAGTATGTAAGGAATAGCTGAAAGAGCTTGAATTGTGCCCCTGTCCTGCAGGTTGTCTTATGTTTAGATGGAGGTGGGTGGTAGAAGAGCACTCTGGAGCTGCCGTGTATGGAGCACTTGCTCACTCACGACATTTTCTGTGATTGTGTGTATCCTACGCGGTATACCTCCTTACCTTATACCCTGAAACTAGCTGCAGTAAATTGACTGCCCCAGGCCTGTTGAAGGAGCCCTCAGGTCTGGGGACAGGTGAGTGCTCAGAGCAGGCCATGGAATGTTCCTAGTGAATTTGTAGGAATGTTTCGAGGGTCTACTGGACAGGACTCGGTTGAGGCTTTTTCCTAACGAGGCTCCTGTGCATCTTGGATTCCTAGTCTGTACCAGCCTTGAATGCTGAGGTCTCTGCTGCCACTGCCATTGCGCCTGTCGCTCCTGACTTCTACCTCTCCTGACCTCTGGTAACTGATTCTTCTGGTCCTTTCTTTCTTGTGCATGGATGTCTAATTTACTGTAATTTCTCTCTGTTTATTTTTATTGTTCAAAATTATAAAAATGCATTTTTCATACCCTTTTAGACATACAGTCTTTTAGACAAATGGGTTGCAGTCTGCATATTCTTCTATAACTTTAGTATTCTCCTTACAAGGTCTTGAGAGATTTTCCCACATCTTTCCATGTAAAACTACCCTAATCTTTCCAAATTGTACATAGAATTCCTGTGCCATTGTAGAGAAATACATACATCATTGAAATAATTCCCTATGAGTAGACTTTGGATGGTTCCCAATTATTCTTATAAACCAGACCCTCATAATGATTGTTGCTTATATGTCTTATTGGGCATTTATTTTAGTATCATGGGGCTAAGCCCTTTATGGAACTGTTGAGACAGAAATTAAAAAAATTATTTATTGTTAGGTATTATATTATTATTAGTAGTAGTATTAGGTATGTGTATGTGCACGATGTGTGTGTGTGTGTGTGTGTGTGTACCAGTGCATGCAAGGTGCATTACACATGTAGAAGTCAGAAGACAATTTTGTGGAGTCCGTTTTGTCTTTGCATGGGCTCTGTGCATCCAGTCCAGGTTGTCGGTGTTGGGGGGTGTCCACCAGAGAAGATTGCCAATAGAAAGTGTTGGTTAACCAGCTGGTGACTACACTGGGTTTTCAGGATTCCATCGTAGCCTTTCTTGGGGTGAGCTTTTAAGCACACAAACCATGT